AATACAAATTTGAACCAGTTATACCTCTACACCTAGGTACAAGAGTCTCTAATACTGTCTCTGAAATTTCTCCAACGAGAACCTGTTCAGTCTCTCTCTTCCTTTCTCTATTTTTTATTCTTTGATACTATCTAAAATACACCCATGGAGTTGGTCTTAGTATTAAGTTTTTACTTTTTAGAATGAAAATTTATAGAGTTTAGAGCTAATATTTAGACTAGTTTGTTATTTAAAGAAAAAACTATTTGTTCAATTAGAATCTAAAATTTAGACTATTTCACAATTCTGATATAAAATTTAGACCATTTTTGTAACGGATCCCTTTTTGTAATTCTCCCAAAACTATATGTGATGCAGTTTGAGCTCCTATCACTCGAATACATCACCTCGGTGGAAGGAACCTACGCTAATCCCATTTCCGCCACAGTCATTACAAGTCTTGTCTTTAAAACATCCCTTGGGAGAACATCTCCGACATTCGGGAACCAGCGATTCGTGTTAGCGAACAATGGTCAGAAACTTGTTGGGTTCCATGGGAGGGTCTCTCCGGGTCGTCTTGACGCACTAGGAGCTTATTTTTCACCGGAACCTGTAGCCGAGCCATCTCCAGTCAAAGATTGGGTTCCACCTAAGAAACTTGAGGCTCAGGGTGGTCAAGGAGGAGACAAATGGGACGATGGAATTTACAATGGTGTTAGAAAAGTTTATGTCGGAAGAGACGAGGCTTGTGTAACGAGCATCATGTTCGACTATGTAAAGGACTACGTCGATGAAAACCGAGCGCATGGAATCTTAAACGAAGAGCTACAAGAGGTCTTTCCCTCACAACTCTCGTTAATTATACTACTTAGTATATATATACTAGATTTTTATGCGAAGAGATGAGGCTTGACGGGGGATTATAATGTTTGAAAATAAAAAATCATAATTTTAAAAAACCAAATAGTATATCTCTAATATATTTTATCTTACAAAATCTAATCTGCATGATATTTAGACTGAATGTAGACGTTTTTAATGTAAATCGAATACATTTAAGATTATGGATAATTGCAAAAATGCAATTTTTGGTGTGTTACATCATTAGCAATTTTAACCATGGACTAATATTTTTTTAATTTATTTGATTCTTAAAAAATATTAATCGCGTATAACGCGGGGAGTCATCTAGTTTCTTATATTAGAAAAAAGTTTTGAGTCATTTTGATATTAGTTTTGTGTTATTACTGGAAATTTAAACTAATAATTTAAGAATCTTTTAAAAATACCAATTCTGAAATAAAAAATTTCAAAAATGTCACCGTTCTTAAAAAGATTTTTTAAAATGCGGCTAATTTTTTGTTTTGTTTTTTTATGTTCCCCAAATTTCTGAGGTCTAAGCGTTTTCAGAACTGATAGAACATTTATTTGATACCCTTTTGATCGATACAGAAACCAATATAATGTACCAAACAATACACTTACATTTGCCAAAACATAATTGGTTGCAGTTTCTACTTGATCACATGGAATGTATCATATCTGTGGAGGGAACGTACGGTAATGTGCGTCGTTTCACCAGCCCAGTCGTGACGAGCCTTGTCTTCAAAACATCAAAAGGAAGGACTTCTCCAACATTTGGTGCTACTAAGTTTGTGCTCGAGGACAATGGTCGTCATATTGCCGGCTTCCATGGACGGTCTGGAACTGCACTTGATTCTATAGGAGCACATTTTGTGCCCCCTAGGCCGATGAATGTGGAATGTTGTATTTCGTGAAAGATTTACAAATTTTATGTTAAAAGTCAATTGATAAAGAAAAAATAAACCTTTCAAATTTTTAACGGGAACTAAATAGAAATAAACTTTAAATAAATCATCATTACTTATATGCAAATTTGTTTCTTTTTGCTAATGTTTTTTTGAAAATAGCAAAAAGAACTAAGTGCACCTTCAACAATAAGAAACTCAACGAGTTTCTAGTGTTGTGTTTGTTATTTTTCTTTACATAAATCTAGAGAATCTCATGAATATCCATAGTATTTTGAAAATTGTGTTGTATGAATAAATTAAAACTGTAAAGAATCCACATTTTGATAACATTTGATTATAATAGATAATCACTGAAAATTAAATATAAATTTTGAATCAAAAAGGTTTTAAATATAGTATAAATTTTTTCAAACCAAATGAAATTTATTAAGAATTCATTAACCAACAACAATGAAATCTAAAAAAGTTTAATAATCCTTGAGATATCCCCTAATTGTTATGAATTTTTGTATTGGGCCGTATCGTATCAAAGGCCCAATTTGAGTTCACTGGACAATTTGGTTCCAAGCTTCGTTTCCTGTCGGAGAACTGAGTTGCCTCTCTGGACCCACCTCGCTACGAAGACCACAGCCATGAGAAGACCAAACTGACACAGTAGTAGAAGTCACGACCAACGCTACATCCGCCTTGACGACGGAGACGTTGAGATTGTGAATCCAGTGAACGATCATCCACAATCGGAGCATCACAAGGAAGACACGAGACTGCCATGGATCGTTCTTCTGCAGCTTCTCCGTCTAATTCTCAGCCTACAAAACCTTCAAAATCTCACCGGAATCGTCGAGGCCATGGATCAAATTCAAAACCTCGTTCCGTGGAGAAATCGGAGGTGTATGCTTTGGCTGATGAGTTGAGTAGCTTAAAGCTGCAACAGAATTCGGTGATTAGCAATAATTCAAGTGTAAATTCGATTACGGAGGAGAAGACTCATGGTGATCATTCGAAGTTTGAGGAATCGGAGGCTAAGAGTGCTGATAACGAAGATATTTTGTTGACTATTTTGAACGATTTACGATCTAGCGTCACTGAACCAGAACTAACAGAGGAGCAGCGAAGTATGAATGATCAATCTCAGGAAGATGAGGTAAACGAGCTATATAAAGTTTTTGACTTTGTGATATTGCAATATCCCAAGAAAAGTTTCTGAACATTGGTGTTGTTATCGATTCGTCTCTCTGTTCACATAGATTTTCTGGTTGTTTGAAATTCTTGTAGCTTCTGGCACTGGGGTACATCTATGGAGGAAGCATGTTCATCCTTGACCGGCATAAAGATATGCGATACTTTCAGGTCAGGAATAAGCTTTCGGACTTGCAGGTTTTGTATCGATAACGTGACATAGCAAACGTTCTAATAGTCGGAAACCCTTTATATTGGTTATTGCAGATTCATGTAAATCTTGAAGCTACTAGTGAATATACTGTCTCTGCGAAGCTTAACGTACAAGCTGATTCAAGCGAAGATTCTGAGGAGTTTTTGTACTCATTCAAGGCACAGCACCTTCCGCCGATTGTGTTGACATGTTTATTACCAAATGCTTATCCCAGCCACTTACCGCCTTATTTCATTATAAGTGTTCAATGGATGAGCCCTGATAAGATTTCAAGTCTCTGCTCCATGCTGGATTTGATATGGACAGAACAGCTAGGGCAAGAAGTCTTGTACCAATGGACCGACTGGCTACAGAACTCGTCAATTTCACATCTCGGCTTTGATAATGAGATTGCTCTTGGTCCTTACGGGGTTACATGTTCCAGAGATAAGCGGGCTTTTTCTGGAAGTTGTTCCCCGGATGCAGATATTCCTTTTATTAGGAGTTATGACGATGAAAAACGCCGTGAGAGCTTCCTTAAGAGCATTCACGAGTGTTGTATATGTTACTCTGAATCTGCAGGTAAACCTTCGTTCTTCTTTGTATCTTATTGCTTCAAGTCCTTTCCTCATGCTTGACACTTGTTCGCTGTATCTCTTTCGCCATCGACAGGTATTGACTTTGTTAAGTTACCATGTCAGCATTTCTTTTGTATGAAATGTATGAAGACCTACACAGGCATACATGTCTCTGAAGGCACCGTTAACAAGCTTAAGTGTCCAGACACGAAATGTGGAGAAATTGTTCCCCCAGGTATATTGAAGAGATTGTTGGGAGATGAAGCGTATGAACGTTGGGAAACTCTAATGTTACAGAAAACACTGGAGTCCATGACTGACGTTGTTTTCTGTCCTAGATGCGAAACCCCGTGCATAGAGGACGAGGAGCAGCTTGCTCTATGCTTCAAGTGCTACTACAGTTTCTGTACACTTTGTAAGGAAAAGCGACATGTGGGTGTGGCTTGTATGAGCCCGGAACTGAGACTTCAAGTCTTGCAGGTATCGTTACCGACCCTTTGAGCAATCACTACATCTCTGTTTGTTATACCCGAGAAAGCTTAAACCGGGCTCTTTCTGACATGTTATACTATTCAGGGGCGTCAAGAGTCTACTAGTCTTGGAGAGGAACAAAGGCGAAAAGAAAAAGAAATGATCAATGAGGTTATTAGTGTGAAGATGATAATGAAGAACTCTAAGCAATGCCCGTCATGCAAAATGGCCATCTCAAGAACAGGAGGTTGTAACAAAATGGTCTGCAAGAACTGTGGCCAATACTTTTGTTACCGTTGCAACAAGGCTATCACTGGTTATGAACATTACAGGTTTGTGATTTTACATATGTTCATAAATTGTTACATGTATATATATCTTGGAACTCAAATAAAAACCTTTTTTTTTTTTGGGAAAAGAGAGGGAACATGTGATCTGTTCCCACAAGACGCGACTCAAGATTGGGATC